ACCTATATCATCTCTCAGCACCGCCCTGATGGCGTCCTTGAATATCAGAGCTACGCCATCTCCCTTACCTTCCTGTCTGGCCTTCCGAATAGTCTGGTACCCTTGGATATTTAACTCCCAGTCGTGAACATCCTGTAACCATGTCTCCGTAATGGCTACCAAATCATATTCATTCGCGATGATTTGTGCCGTTAACTCATCAACCTTGTTACGAATGCTACGAGCATTCAGGTAAAGTGCCTTTATGCTAGCTTTCTTACCCTTATGATTTCCAACATCTCTAATAATATCTCCTGAGTTATCCTTCCTTTTTGCATCTTTCATAGTCTACCTTGAACTTAAACCCTCCTGCACACATGCTAACCTGCTGCTTACCTTTCTATTTACCATCATACTCCCTGTCGTTTTCCCTTTCCCTTCCCCCCAACTCACTAGTTTAAAGTCCTAGTGACCACCCTATTTATCCTTTTCGCAAGAACACTGGTTCCAGATCGGTTCAGGTGAAGACCGTCCCATCGGTACAGATCCCTCTGGTTCCAAAACTGTTGCCAATGCCCCATGAAATGGAACCCCTCTTTCCCACACCACTCCCTTAGCCACGTGTTTACTTCCCTAATTTTCTTATCCCTAAGCCAATTTGCACGTGGCTCGGGCAGTAATCCGGAGATTATGACCCTCGAGGACCTGTTCCTTAATTTCGTTCCTAGTGCTTGATAATCCCCAAACAGGTCCTCCATTCTAGCCTTGCCTATGTTGTTAGTCCCAACGTGGTCCACAACAACTGGATCCTCCCCCTCCCGCCCCAGTATTCTTTCAAGCCAGTCAGAGATGTCCTGCACCCTGGCACCGGGTAGGCAACACACCACGTGGGACTCCCAATCCGGCTTGTAAAGGATACTATCTATCCCCCTAACTATAGAATCCCCTATAACTACCACTTGTCTTTTTGATCCCCCCTCTTGAATGGCCTTCTGCACCACGGTGCCGTGGTGAGCTGGCTCATCCTCCCCGCCGCCCTTTTCTTCATCCACACAGGGAGCAAGTATCTTGTACCTGTTGGATAAGGTCAAAAGCTGAGGCTCCTCCACTCCTGAACTCGGGATCCCCCTACCTGCCTCACTTGCAGTCACACCCTGTTGTCCCTGATCACTAACTGAATTTGAATTACTTAATCTACCAGGTGTGACTGCCTCCTGAAACAAAGCGTCCAGGTAACTCTCCCCCTCCCGGATGTGCCACAGTCCTCCGGGACCTCACCCGTGCTCAAGGACGCTGCAAAGATATCTGTTAAGGCCCCAACTATTTCCTCTCTTGCTTCCCTCAGTAACCTGGAATAGATCCTATCCGGACCTGGGGACTTATCCACCCTAATGCCTTTTAGAATACCCAACACTTTCCCCCTCCTTATGCCGACTTGACCTAGAGTAATCAAACATCTATCCCTAACCTCAACATCCGTCATGTCCTTCTCCTCAGTGAATACCGACGCAAAGTACTCATTAAGAATCTCACTCATTTTCTCTGACTCCTCGCATAACTTTCCGCCTTTGTCCTTGAGTGGGCCAACCCTTTCTCTAGTTACCCTCTTGCTCCTTACATATGAATAAAAGGCTTTGGGATTTTTCTTAACCCTGTTTGCTTTTATATTCAAGTCCTCTCAAAATAAATGCCAAAGTTGCATTTGCCTTCCCGACTACTGACTCAACCTACAAGTTTACCTTGAAAGAATCCTGGACTAGAATACCCAAGTCTGTTTGCACTTCAGACTTCTGAATTTTCTCCCCATTTAGAAAATAGTCCATGTTTTTATTCTTCCTACCAGAGTGCATGACCTCACACTTTCCCACGTTGTACTCCATCTGCCACTTTTTGCCCACTCCCCGAACCTATCCAAATCCTTCTGCAGCCTCCCGCATCCTCAATACTACCTATCCCTCTACCTATCTTTGTATCATCTGCAAACTTAGCTGGAATGCCCACAGTTCTGTCATCTAGATCATTAATGTACAAAGCGAAAAGTTGTGGTCCTAACACTATCCCTTGTGGAACACCACTTGTCACCAGCTGCCATCCTCAGAAAGACCCCTTTATCCTCACTCTCTGCTTTGTGTCAGACAGCCAATCTTCTATCCATGCTAGCACCTTGCTTCTAACGCCATGGGCCCTTATCTGACTCGGCAGCCCTGACAAAGGCCTTCTTGAAGTCCAGGGCGATAAAATCCATTGGCTGTCATTATTTCCTTAAAGAATTCTGACAGATTTGTCAGGCATGACCTCCCCTTGATGAAGCCATGCTGACTTTGCCCTATTTTACCATGCAGTTCCAAGTATTCAGAAATCTCATCCTTCAATGGATTCTAAAATCTTACCCACGACTGAGGTTAGGCTAATCGGCCTGTAATTTTCAGTCTTTTTAAACAGTGGTGTCACGTTAGCGATTTTCCAATCCACTGGGACCCTCCCTGACTCTCGCAATTCCTGGAAGATCACTAGTAACGTCTCTACTATCTCTTCAGCGACCTCCTTGAGGACGGATTGGTGCCAGATGGACTTTAATCCTGAAAAATGTGAAATGATACACTTTGGAAGAGGTGAGGTGGTGCACTCAGTGATTGGCAGGACACAAGGTAGCTCCGAGCAACAGAAAGACCTTGAATTGCTTGTCCACAAATCCCTAAAGGCAGCAGGACAGGTTGATAGGGTAGTTAAGAAGGTGTTCGGGGCATTTGCCTTTATCAGCCATGACAGATCAGAAGGGCAGGTAGGTTATATTGAAGCTGTACACAATTTTGGTTAGGCCACAGCTAGAGCACTGTGTGCAGTTCTGGTCACCACACTAGAAGAAGGATGTGATTATATTGGAAGAAGTGCAGAGGAGATTCTCCAGGATGTTGCCTGGGATGGAGCACTTTGGATACGAAGAGAGGCTGGATCAGCTCAAGTTGTTTTCTTTGGAGCAGAGAAGGCTGAAAGGGGATCTGATTGAGGTGTATAAGATTATGAGGGGCATGGACAAGGTAGATAGAAAGCAGCTGTACCCCTTAGTTGAAGGATCAGTACCAAGGGGCATACATTCAATAAAATCATCCTTAATTCTTCTAAAAGCTAATGAATAAAGGCCAAATTTGTTCAACTGACCTGGATAAATGAAATCCATCATCCCTGGAATTAGCCTCATGTATCTGTTTTGAATGGCCTCCAATGACAGTATAACATCTATTGAATGTAAGGACTGAAACTATTGTAGTATTCCAGGTGCAGCCTCACCAGCACTCTACGCAGTCGTGCCAAGACTTGCCTGCTTTAAACTCCAACCCCCAATCAATGAAGGACAAAATTCCAATTGCCTTCTTTATTACGAGATGCATATATATTTACTTAGTTTCTTTTGTTTGTTTTTCTAAGGCCCCCTTGTTTTTGTACTTGGACTGGTGCCTTGTCCTTTGTCCTTGTGTTGGTCCTTTTCTCACTTTGCTTCTTCCTTGTTGCTTCTGAGCCCTCTCCTAACTTATCCTTTCAACTGGAAACTCTTCTTACTTGGCCTAAAGCTGTTAGTGAATCCTTTTCTTTCAATTATTTGTCCTTACGCTCCTCTATGCTTCAGTCATGCTTTTTCCCCAAAGAAACCTAAATCTTGTCCTTCCATCTGTTACCTTCTCTCAATACTTCACTTTCTCAGAAGCCTTTATATGTTGCTTGCCAACTCCCGTTTCCCCTTTCCCTTGTACGTGAACTTCCACATCTGATACAATTTCCTTCTGCTTATTTTCTGTCCTCAATTTTACTTTATCCAATTTCTATCTTCCCTCATTCATCACTTGTTCTCTTCTGACTCCTTTGTTTCTGTGTCCATTCAGTCACTTTCCTCTATCTCTCTTACCTCTTCATCTTTGAAAGTAGAAGAGTAGAGGATTTCTGGTCCGTGGTTTTCAGAGTTTCAGCATGTTGTAGGGGGCGTGAGACAAATTTTAACCCATCGTATGGATAGAATAATGTAAACATTTGCAGTTCTTTCTGGCTTTCAAGTTTCTATATTCATCTAATGTGTGAAGCAGTGTTGCAGCTTGTTAATCATCGACCTTATGATCATTAAGCTCATGAGCATAATCCAAAATATATGTGAACATAGAACAGTACAGCACAATACAGGCCGTTCGGCCCACTATGTTGTGCCGACCTATCATCCTACTAAGATCAATCTACCCTGCATACCCTACATTTTACTATCCTCCATGTGCAAATCCAAGAGTCGCTTAAAAGTCTCTAAAGTATCTGACTCCAATACCACTGCCGGCAGCGCATTCCTCATGCCCACCACTCTGTGTGAAGAGCATACCACTGACATCTCCCCTATACTTTCCTCCAGTCACCTTAAAATTATGCCCCTTTGTAATAGTCGTTTCCACCCTGGGAAAAAGTCTCTGACTATCCACTCTATCTATGCCTCTCATCATCTTGTAAACCTCTATCAAGTCATCTCTCATCTTTCTTTGCTCCAATGAAAAATGCGCTCGCTCCCTCAACCTTGCCTCATAAGACCTGCCCTCCAGTCCAGGCAGCATCCTGGTAAATCTCCTGTGCAACCTCTCTAAAGCTTCCACATCTTTCCTGTAATGAGGTGACCAGAACTGAACACAATATTCCAAGTGTGGTCTAACCAGAGTTTTATAGAGTTAAGATTTTGCTCTCAACAGCATCAGCTATTCATTATAGCTTATTACCTGACTCCCCAAAGTCTGTCCACCAGTTAAAAGGCACAAGTCGGGAGTGAAATGGAATACTCTGAAATTTCCTGGATGGGAACAACACTCAAGAAGCTTGACAGCATCAAAGAAAAGCAGCCCACTTGGCACTGCATCAACAGATGTCAATTTTTTCAACCACTGACGCTCAGTATGTATTATCTACAACATGCAGTACAGAAATTCACCAAAGATCCTGAGATTGCATGTTGCAAACCCAGGATCACTTCCATCTGGAAGGACAAGGGTAGCCGACACATGGGGATGCCACCACCTTCGTTTCTCTGTAAGCCAGTCACCATCCTGTCATGGAAATATATCATGATGTGGAGGTGCCAGTGTTGGACTGGGGTGAACAAAGTCAGAAGTCACACAACACCAGATTGTAGTCCGAGACAACAAGGTGCAGGGCTGGATGAACACAGCAGGCCAAGCAGCATCATAGGAGCAGAGAGGCTGACGTTTCGGGCCTAGACCCTTCATCAGAAAAGGGGGAGGGGAAGGGGGTTCCGAAATAAATAGGGAGAGAGTGGGAGGCGGATAGAAGAGGGATAGAGGAGAGGATAGGTGGAGAGGAAACAAACAGGTCGAAGAGGCAGGGATGGAGCCAGTAAAGGTGAGTGTAGGTAGGGAGTTAGGAAGGGGATAGGTCAGTCCAGGGAGGACGGACAGGTCAAGGGGGCGGGATGAGGTTGGTCGGTAGGAGATGGAGGTGCGGCTTGAGGTGGGAGGAGGAGATAGGTGGGAGGAAGAACAGGTTAGGGAGGCAGGGACGAGCTGGACTGGTTTTGGGATGCGGTAGGGGGAGGGGAGATTTTGAAACTTGTGAAATCCACATTGATACCCTTGGGCTGCAGGGTTCCCAAGCGGAATATGAGTTGCTGTTCCTGCAACCTTCGGGTGGCATCGTTATGGCACTGCAGGAGGCCCAGGATGGACATGTCATCTGAGGAATGGGAGGGGGAGTTGAAATGGTTCGCGACTGGGAGGTGCAGTTGTTTATTGCGAACCGAGCGTAGGTGTTCTGCAAAGCGGTCCCCGAGCCTCCACTTGGTTTCCCCGATGTAGAGGAAGCCACACCGGGTACAGCGGATTGGCAGATGTGCAGGTGAACATCTGCTTGATGTGGAAAGTCTTCTTGGGGCCTGGGATGGGGGTGAGGGAGGAGGTATGGGGGCAGGTGTAGCACTTCCTGCGGTTGCAGGGAAAAGTGCCGGGTGTGGTGGAGCTGGAGGGGAGTGTGGAGCGGACAAGGGGGTCACGGAGAGAGTTGTCCCTCCGGAAAGCAGATAAGGGTGGGGAGGGAAAGATGTCTTTGGTGGTGGGGTCGGATTGCAGATGGCGGAAGTGTCGGAGGATGATGCGTTGGATCCGGAGGTTGGTGGGGTGGTACGTGAGGACGAGGGGGATTCTTTTTTGGTTTTTATTGCGTGGACGGGGTGTGAGGGATGAGGTGCGGGAGATGTGGGAGACACGGTTGAGGGCGTTCTCGACCACCGAGGAGGGGAAGTTACGGTCCTTGAAAAACGAGGACAACTGAGATGTACGGGAGTGGAATGCCTCATCCTGGGAGCAGATGCGGCGGAGGCGAAGGAATTGGGAATAGGGGATAGCATTTTTGCAGGAAGGTGGGTGGGAGGAGGAGTATTCTAGGTAGCTGTGGGAGTCGGTGGGCTTGAAATGAATATCGGTTTCGAGGTGGTTGCCCGATATGGAGACAGAGAGGTCCAGGAAGGGGAGAGAGGTGTTAGAGATGGTCCAGGTAAACTTAAGGTTGGGGTGGAAGGTGTTAGTGAAGTGGATGAACTGTTCGAGCTCCTCGTGGGAGCACGAGGCGGCGCCGATACAGTCATCGATGTAACGGTGGGGTTTCGGGCCGGTGTAGGTATGGAAGAGGGATAGGGTTGGATTGTAGTCCAACAGGTTTATTTGAAATCACAAGCGTTCAGAGCACTGTTCCTTCATCACCTAATTATCTCACATAAACCTGTTGGACTATCACCTGGTGTTGTGTGACATCTGACTTTGGAAATATATCACCACTCCTTCAGTGTCGCTGGCTCAAAATCCTGGAGTTCCCTCCCTATCATATTGTGGATATAGTACCGCACATGAGCTACAGCTGTTCGGGAAGGCAGCTCATCACTCCCTACTGAAGGGTACTGGTGATGGACAAAAAATGCTGGCCATGGCAGCGATGCTGACATCCCCTGAATATGTGTATATATATATATGTGTGTGTATATATATATATGTGTGTATATATGTATATGTGTGTGTATATATGTATATGTATTTTTCGAAGGGCTTGCCATCAAATTTCCACAGGAAATGACCACACATGAACTCTTGCACCAAAGTGGGCAGGGCAAACAAAACCTTTTTTCCCAGGATAGAAATGCCAATTACTAGAGGAACATAGGTTTAAGTGAAAAGTGAGTAAGTTTAAAGAAGATGTGAAAGGCAAGTTTTTACACAGGGTGTAAGTGCCTGGAATGTGCTATTAAAGGATGTGGCGGAGGTGGATACAATAACACTGTTTTAAGAGGCATCTAGACAGATACATGAATAGGCAGGGAATTGACTGATACAGACCACAGAGCGGCAAAAGGTTTTTAGTTTAGAAAGGCATCATGTGTCAGCACAGTCTTGTTGGGCTGAAGGGCCTGTTCCTGTGCCGTGTTGTTCTTTGTTTTTAGTTTCTTTTTAAACAACCACTGAAGATTCATTAATTAACAGTACAGATTTTGAATTAGGAACTCTCACAATATTTTAGTGTCAAATCAGGAACAGAAAATAAATAAAAATGGGGTTGACAGAGAGAAACAGATAAAAAGAGCAAGAAAATTTGAAACAAAATTTAATTTTTAAAATCCCCCAACAATAATTAAAATCTGAAGAAATGAGACTCCTCCACTTGTATGAGTCAGTTTTCCATGTCAGATAAATAACTTCTATCAAACAAAGGTTGTTTCTGCTATTAAAAGGTTACTTAAACTGTAAAGGACAAGCCTGAACCTTTTCTGGAATAAAAGCAGAGTACTGTGGATGCTGGAAATCTGAAGCAAATTCAGAAAGTGCTGGAGTATCCCAGTAGATCTGGCAGCATGTGTGGACAGAGAAACAGAGTTAGCATTTTAAGTCTGGTATGACTCTTCAGTTATAGATATTGCCAGATCTGCTGAGTTTCTGGACCTTTTTCAACCTGTTTACTAAGTATCCATTGGGTCAAATATACTAGTTTCACACCTTTCCATGCATTTTGCCTACTCTGCAACATAGTGATATAACTTCCGGATCAATTTGGCAGCTGGGATCTCCTGATTTCCATGCTTAACTGCACAATTTTAGGCAGGGTGGAGGAGTAGTGATGATGTCACTGGACTAGAAATCTATAGCTACAGCCTAATGCTGTGGGAACATGGGCTCTTGAATCCCACCATCACAAATTAGGACTCAACAAAAATCTGGAATTTTAAAAAAGCTGATCTAATGGCTGATTGTCATAAGATCCCATCTGGTTTACTGATGAGCTTTATGGAAAGAAATCTGCCATCTCAACAGGTCTGATGTGACTCCAGATCCTCAGAGATGTGATTGATTCTTAACTGTTTCTCTAGTCCATTTCAGAGTGCAGTCAGGTAAAGGTCAATTAGGAATGGTCAACAAGTATCGACCTTGTCATTGACACCCATGTCCCACATCTGATTAAAAGAAAATTGTTGCAAATTGTGATCAGTGCTGATCACCTTGCTGTTCATTCTACAGCAAAATCAAGCCCAAGGTTTTTGAATAAATTTGGTTCAGAAAGGTAATTGGTATTTATTAATTATTTTAACAAGAAATTTACAACTTATAACCAATAATAATTGTGGTTTAATTTTCATTTCAGTACTTTGCAGTAATGCAATTATAATTATACAGGGTTGAGGACAGTTGTTGAGGAGCTAGAACTAGAACGGAACAGACTACAGGAGCAAATCCTAATGTTGGAGGAGCGCTGTCAGGACTTGGAGGAAAAAGCACAGCTCCGTACCAGAGTAGAGTTCCATCAGGTAAGGATGAAAAGGGTGACCTAGTTCCAGTTTCGTGAGTAGCTTGATGTAGGACAATTCTTGTTATGAAAAGACCGAGAATGCAATGGAAATGGTGTTTGGTAAATATAGTTTAGAGGAAAAGAGCGATTGAATTTGAACAAATAATATTCTGAAATGTCTGGGACTGATGCTCCATTATATGCTTAATAGTCAGGCTGGTAGTATTTTATATCAACCTTTACATGCATGTAGTGTGTTTTTCTTTTAAACAATTTTGTTTTAACTGCATCTCTCATTTACAAATCAAAAGTTGAGTGATTTTTTATTTTTAGTTCTATTTGGAGGTTTGGAAGCCATCTCCTGCAGAGCAGTTGAATAATTCCTATCTTCTGTTTACCTACAGAAATGGAGTTGTAAATTTTCTGTTTGCTGATGCCATTTCATATTGTCTTAAACATTGCTCAAGAGCATCAAAAGCCCAAACTGTTTGATTATTTGCCAAGGTTGACTTTTTGAATTGTTAAAATTTTCATCATGAACATGTGAAAATACTTAAATTCAAGGATCCAGTAACAAGGCTGTCTAATGCAGGTGACCTTTGGTGTATGTGAAGAGGGGCAGCTACTGAGGGTTCTCCACACTGAGGTGTGTGTTTGATCTTGCTTCACTTTTAAGGTGATGAAAAATAGTTGCAGTGTGTTCTTGGTCGTGTACTGTCGGTTCTGGTTTTTATATATAGGTAGTTATTTTGCCTAACTTTGATATTTTAAAACTGTGTCGTTGTGTTGTGGTTATGTCTAACAACATTAAGAAAGCCAAATGTGACAGGACTTGATGGGAAATAACTGTGAACAGTGAGAACGCATGCAGATTACAGGAGTGTCTAGACTTCAGATATAGTTATAAAAATACATAATTTTAAAATGTTCAGAATAGATAATTACATTCTACACAACTACAGATATCTCTCAAGTGGAAAATGTGACAACTGGCATCATGTTTTCAAAAGGAATGATTTCACATTCTTGCCTCTTTATAAATTACAGTCACCAAGCTCTAGTGCATAGTGTACAGATCAGCCTTGATCTAACTGAATAATGGAATAGATTCAAAAGATTTACTGACCGACTTCTGGTTCTCGCATTCTTAGATATACCTTGATGGTTCCAAAAGCCAGCATATTTTAAATTTAAAAGCAGTCTTATGGAAGTAAAGAGTTTATCTTATACATTTTTCATCCAAAGATTCCATGAACTGCACCCTGATAAGTCCCTGATCATTATTGCCTAAACCCTCCAGAGTCTCACTGGCTCACCCTGGGACAAACTTGGCAAGAGAGCCTTGACTGAGCACCACCCCCACCCAACTCCTGACTGATGTTAGGATGATGAGGATTATGTTTCTGAACTCAGCCCTTTGAGCCTGCTCTGCTTTTTAATATGACATTCAGAAAAAATAGGAAACTGGATAAAGAGGAGGGGTAGCACTACTCTTGAAATATGGAATTGATGCAATGGTTAGAGGTGACCTTAGTGGAGGAAGTCAACCCTGATTTTACTGAATGACGAAGCTTGAGAGCCAAATGGCCTACTGCTCCACCTAATTCTATGTATCATGGAGTTTATCATACATGTGCTGGTTCTATGAAAGTGTTATCAGATTAATTTCACTGCCATGATACTACAAAAGCTGTTCACTGTTGCACTCCAGCTCTTTCCCCAAAGTCATGTAAATTTGATGGCTTTATTAGGGGCGGCTCAGAGGCTAGCACTGCTGCCTCACAGTGCCAGGGACCCGGGTTCAATTCCATCCCCAGGCGACTGTCTGTGTGGAGTTTGTACATTCTCCCCGTGTCTGCCTGGGTTTCCTCCAGGTGCTCCAGTTTCCTCCCACAGTCCAAAGATGTGCGTGTAAGGTGGATTGGCCATGCTGAATTGCCCATAGTATCCAGGATATGCAGGCTAAGTTGATTAGCCATTGGATATGCAGGGTTACAGGGATAGGGTGTTTTGGGGGGTGGGCGTGTTCATGGGATGCTCTTCGGAGGCCTGCTCCCACACAGTAGGGATTCCACTGATATTAAGCTGTTTTTGTATTGGGCTAAATGAAACATTGGTGCTGTCAGCTTCTTACAGCAGAACAGTTTTACTACAAAATTCAAAATGACCGTACACTGGTAAAATGTAAAAAAAAATTTTCTTCTGTCATTCTGCCCTGCTTAACTGGGATTACAGTTAACTATGTGCAGCCCGTATGTTGAGAAAAGACAACAGAAACAATTCAATAAATCAATTGTGAAAGTAGCTTTAGAAAATACTAACTAATGACCTGTGTTATCATGTGAATGTCTGCCTATGGTGGAATCAGGTGAATACTATATAAACTTTCAGTGTATGCAGGGAATGGCCAGACTGTGCAAGGAGAGCAAACAATAGATAATGAGAGATAATAGATAATTATAGTCAGGCCATTTACTAGGAAGCTTGTTGCGCCCAGTGGGACAGGTCTTGTCAGTGATTTACCTCTGCAGCTAATGACTTAGGCACTCAATAAAAGCATAAGAAATATGAACACAGAGGTGGTGGTGTAATGGTAATGCCACTGGTCTAGTAATCCAGAAACCTAGGTTAATATTCTGGGAGTAGGTGTTTGAATCCCACCATTACAAATGGTGAAATTTGAGGGGCTCTTATGGTGCAATAATAGCGTTCTTTCCTTGAGCCAGGAAGCCTAGGGTCACATTCTACCTGCTCCAGAGGAATATCGTAACGTCTCTGAACAGATGGATTAGAAAATATCTAAGAAACAGGAGCAGTAGTCGAACCTTTGACCTCTCAAGCATGCTGCACCAGTTAATGAGATCAAGACTGATCTGAATGAGGCCATAAACCCATTTTTCTGGCTGCAACCATACAAGACAAAAACTCATCTCCATCTTAAATTGGGAGGCATATTATTTTTGCTATACTGTCTTACTTTCGATTTCCCCATGATGAGAAAACATTTTCTCAGCAGTTCCTGGTAAATCCCCCTTAGAATCTTGTATGTCTCATTAAGGACCCTCTTGATCTTCTAATCCCCAATGATTATAGATGGAGAGGCTGTAATTTTCCCACCAATCCGTAGAGACAAATCATCCATGTCTGCATGATTGTCAAATAGATCCCATGTCTAAGAATTATGACAGTGAGAGGTAAAGTGACCATAGTCCCAGAGGAGCATAAGACTGTTCTCTCTTTAGAGAAAGAAGACTGCTGGTGAGTTTAACCTGAGTGTCACCATGCCTCAGGTGAGGAGCAAGGTTGAGAAGGTGGGTCCTTCATGGTACGGGCCTTGAACCTGCACTGTTGGCGTCACTCTGCATCCCAAACTATCTGCCCGACCAGTTGAGCTAAGCAACCCCCCCCCCTCGAAGTGAATAATTCAGGTGCAACAACATTATGTTCATGAGTCGCTCAGAGATCGTAAGAACTGCCGATGCTGGAGTCAGAGATTACACAGTGTGGAGCTGGAGGAACACAGCAGGCCAGGCGGCATCAGAAGAGTAGGAAAGTTGACGTTTTGGGTCAGGACCCTTCTTCAGAAAAATGAAGAAGGGTCCCGACTCTAAACGTCAACTTGCCTACTCCTCTGATGCTGCCTGGCCTGCTGTGTTCCTCCAGCTCCACTCTGCATTATCCTATGTTTATGAGTATTATAGAAGTCCTATAGTGCAAATTGATGGGCCAAATGGCCTCTTTCTGCATCCCTCCAGACCTATGACCCTCACCCATAACCCCACATTTCCAACAGCTCATCCACCTGACCTGCACATCTTTGGACTATGGGAGGAAACCAGAGCGCCGGGCAGAAATCCATATTGACAAGGGGAAAATATGCAAACTGTACACAGACAGTCACCCGAGGCTAGAATCAAACCCGGGACCCTGGCGCTGTGAGGCAGCAATGCTAAGCAAAGGGAGTGCTAACCAGAGTATCAAAGGGATCTAGAAGAAAGAAAAATAATTGCAGACAGCAATAATCATGGTCTGTTAGTGAAACGTTTATCTAACTGAAAGAGGAACAGCCAGCTGTGAAGTAGCCTAGATTCTGCACGAACAAATTTGTGGCCTTCTGGTGAAATGACCATCTTGGAATTGACAGTACTGCTGAAGAAATCTGCTGACAGTTCATGAAACATAGAAAATTGGGGCAGATAGGCCATTTGGCCCTTTGAGCCTGCTACACCTTTCAATATGATCATGGCTGATCAACTCATACCCTATTTCGGCTTTTTTCCCAAACCCTTTGGTTCCTTTAGCCCTAAGATCTATATCTAATTTCTTCTTGGAAATATTCACTGTTTTGGCTTTGGCTGCTCTCTGTGGCAGAGAATTCTACAGGCTCACCACACTCTGCGTGAAGAAATTTCTCCTCATCTCAATCCTAAAAGACCTACCCCATTTCCTGGGAATGTGACCCTTGGTTCTGGACTCCCTGGTCTTCAGGAACACTTTTCCTGTGTTTACCTGTCTACTTCTATTAGAATTTAATAGGATTCTGTGAGATCCCTTCATTTTTCTAAGCTCCAGTGAATCCTAACTGATCCAATCTGTCTTCATTCCTCAGTCCTGCCATCCCAGGAATCAGTCTGGTAAATCTTTGTTGCACTCTCTCTATAGCCAGAACATCCTTCCTCAGATAAGGAGACCAAAACTGCACACAATACTCCAGATGTGGTCTCATCAAGTCCCTGTATAATTACAACAAGGCTTCCCTGCTCCTGAATTCTCTCATTATGAAAACCAACATACGTTCTTTACCACCTGCTGCATCTGCATGCTTACTTTCAGTGACTGGTGTACAAGGACACCCAGGTCTCATTGTGCCTCCTGCGTTCCTGATCTGTTGTTGTTCAGAAAATAATCTGCCTTCCTGTTTTTGTTACTAAAGTGGATTCTGTTCATACTTCATCTGCCATACATCGATGAACTTGTCCGAATCACCCTGAAGCATCTCTGCAACTTCATTACAGTTCA